GCATCAGTTTGTTACGATGGTATGGACGACTGGGATTCAGCAAAGGAGCAATCGGTGGAATCACTCTCGGATTACGAGGATATGATTGATTATGATTCTGATGGTGCGTTTTCTTAACGGGGTATCTTCTTAATTCCAACAATAACACGAACTTTTAGCTCCGTAAAAGATTGCATCGCTTTTCATAAGGTTTTATGATATAGTGAATCCATAAAGATATTATGTAGGGCATGAAGATGTTCTTTATAAAATGCTATAACGATTGATGAATAAAATATGTACGGATTTATTATAACTTAAGATTTAGGTTAATGATTCTTTCAATGTGCAAGTTGTTAAGATTTTCATATTGGAAGCAGAAGATTACTAGGATTGGAGTAGGTAATGCAGAGAATTATGAAGATCCTACGAGATAAAGACGTTTGATTCTGCAGAGATCTAACTGTTTTTTAGTTGTAGAAGGTCGCTACTCAGCGGCTCAGAGCCGTCTGGATAGTCGTGCAGATTCTCGCCTGAGACCAGAGTCTTCAATCGGTGCCTATATGAGTCCGGTTTCATTCTCAAGTGACGAGGTCGGTGAAATTCTGATGCTTTCCTGAATTTGACCTTAAATTCCCGGAAACTCTCATCAATCTCTTTTAATCATCTCACACAACATGAATCTCGAAGAAGACTAGCATTGTGAGCTGAAAAATTGTTCTTCAAGGATTACGATGGTCAACACTATCACGATCGCGTGGACGTCGGATGTACGCTAAAGTTGGTGCAGAAGGCAGCCTTGAAAGGTTCTGATGAAGATGAATCATCCAGTGAATACTACGACGATTCTGAGGTATATTTGTCTCAATCCAATCACCTTACATTTAGCAAATGAAATGAGTTCTCAGTCTGATGACACTCAAAAAGTCCGCAAGATAATATAAAATTTGAGTAATTTTTTTGCGTTTTGAATGAAAGAACTTGTCGAGATTTTATGCGGTAAATCAAACGTTCCGTATATGGTATTTGACCGTGACCGGACAATTTGCCTAAAAACGTTTTGACTAAGGACAGTTTGCCTATTTGGCAAAATATCTATTAAAAACCGTTCGTTAGGCAAACTGTCCTTAGGCAACATATCTTTAGGCAGATTGTCCAAATACCGTATTTGACAGTTAATCCACTCGAAAGTATTCGTCCAAATTTCGTATTTTACAGTATGAAGATGAGGAAGAGTATTACGATGAGGATGAAGAATATGATGAAGAGGAAGAAGAGGAGGAGGAAGAGGAAGATGAGAACGAAGAGGAATTGGAGAAAGATGGGCAAGCGGTTGATCTGGAAAAGAGAAAGAAACTGGAAAAAGTGGAGGAACTGGATGAGGAAGGAGAGGAAGAGGGAAAGAAACTGGAAAAAGTGGAGGAACTGGATGAGGAACGAGAAGTAGAGGAAGAAGGTGAGCCAGAAATTGAGAGACGAGAGGTAATCAAAGACGCAATTGCTGAGGAAGAAGACGAGGGGGAATCTGAGGAGGTAGCTGAATCTGAATCTGAGGAGGAACTCTCCGCGGCTGAAGCAACGTCGAAAGTTGAGCAGGTGAGTGAGTTGGACGTGAGCACATTATCATATTTTGGCATCACTCATAATGGTCATCAGTGGAACACTGAGAATTACGCCATAGGTATTGAAATGTAAATGTAATGTGATTGTTTAGTGATGTCTCTATACGACTTTTTTGAAAACTGTTCTATTCTGTTCTTTTGGGCTCGAAAACGGCTCTATTCTGTTCCAAACTGTTCCTCCTTCATTTGCATGAACAGAACAGAAATAGAACAGTTTAACTGGAATAGAGACATCACTATGACTGTTATTGTAGACAAAGCCACCGATTTTGATGGATATCTCACCGGAACGAGAGGACGAAAAAGAAGAGCTGGAAAGTAATGAATTACATGAGTCAGATGCTGACGACAAGGTAATTTCTTACTGCTTAATTAGACCATCATCTTTTTGTTGATATTCTCGTAAACTATCCGGAATGATCAATATCAGAAAGTATCATTCGAATATGATCCATGTAATGTATCGACAGTAATCTGAATTAACGACATATTAACGATCTTAATATTAAGGTTCTCACTAAAAATGGCCCTCAGATAATTGGAAATGTTCATGCATTGTCCCTTGTATTGTCCCCATAATTGAAAAAGAATTTTGATTTGGTTCCATTGTTGTGATTGCAGGAAAGAGCAGTTGAAGCAGCTGTTCCTAAGGAGGATTCCTCATCATGCAAACAAACCACCGAAAGAATTCTAAAAGAAGTCTCTCCGGACGATGTTATTATGGCTGAAGAAGAAGTTGAAGTCGCAACTGTTGAAGAGTTGAAGCCAGAGATACCGGAAGAAAGTGTCATGGAAATGAAACAACATAGTGAAGAAGTGGTCAGTGAGTTGATTAGATGGAGTTTTTCTTACGTCACTTCTTCTGCTAGTTAACAAGCAATGTTAGGGTTCCTCATCACCAAAAACATGCTTTTTTCCTTGACTCACGATAACTCTACCTGAAACTTTAAGAAATTGTGAGCATTATCCGTCGTCAATACATAAGATTGTTCTGAAAAGCGAGAAACTTCTGAATCCGATTATACAAAGAAGTTGCATGTTGCTGAGCAAACTCGAAGACATCTAGTTTGAAAGTGGCACTCGTGATATTCCTTTAGTATTGCATTAGTTGATAAGCATGGAGATCAAATGTACAGAGTTTGGTGTGGCTTAAAAAAGGTAAATTAAATCGCTCAGTTTGATTCAGGAACAGAAGAGTGTGGATATCGTTCCCACATATGTACGTCCAGTGGAAGAGAAGCAACGTTCAGACATGGCAGCCTCCTTTATTGACCCTAAACCATTGATCGATCACGCGAAAGGGGCGATAATTCAGCCAACCAAACTCGCGACTGCTCAAGTTGAAAAACCAGAAGTGAAGGTGGCTGATGCAAAGTAAGTGCGACGGATTCCGCTACCAATCACGACTTTCTCGTCAAATGCGTTGAAATTTGCAATCAAACCCTTCAAACTTGCAACCGTTCGTGAATGAGTACCGATACCACTTCAAGAGACAGCATTCAGTAATGATCTGTTGTCAACTTATCAACATCAAATCATAACTTATCAATTAGCTCAACTGAAACGTAATCGTTAAGTCTTTAGTGATGAAAAGTGCGTCACGATTTTCAGCTCCATTTTTGAGAGCAAATTACAGTGGCTTATGCCTTCCTTTTTGAAGTACTCTGATGCTACTGAATCTAGATTTAATCATCCTCAAATTTGAGGAAACCAGTTCAAAAAGAGGCCGTGGTAGCACCAAAAACTGCTACAAGCTCCCCAGCTGCACAGAGCAAACCATCTGTGGCTCCATCACCATCATCCATTTCGAAATCTCCAGAAGCTCAAGCTCAGTCTACGACAGTTCCTTCTTCGGCTTCACCTACACCAAAAGTAGGAAAAATTTTGCTCTTATTCTCTAGTTGCAAGAATAATGAATAGATTCGCATATATATATATATATATA